TAACCGATCCTGGCTGGTGCTGGGTGTTTGCAGGGGGAGCAACAGCTCGAGTGGTTTAGAGAGACTGGCGGTGTCTGCAAAAACCAGGGATGGGAAGGGAGAGGCAGGGGGTGAGTGTTCTGTTTGATATCGCAGAGTACCAGGAGGCCTGAAAGGCTTAATTGTCTTCCTGATCGTTTAAATGGAAACGGAGATCTTTGTTAATGTGGAAAGTTCTGCTTTTGCTAAGAATTAGTTAGATCAAGATCCAGCATGTGAGAACTGGCTGAGGATGAAAGTGAGTTTTATTCTGTGGCTTTGTTTGTATCTGCTAAACTGTCAAAATACTGGAAGTAATGATTCCCGTTCAGATTCACCTTTGCCTAATGCTTGAGCTCAAGATAGAGACGTGAAAATTGTCCAGCAAAAGACAACTTCACACTTGATGTTTTTTAAAACCTCAAAAGGAAAAATAAGCAGAAATATTTTCAGGCCTTTCAGGATTTTTTTATAAAAAGCAGAAAGAGAGGTAATTTCTCTATAAACACAGTTTATAAACACAGTTACACAACTACACTGCAAATCTTCGGGGCTGCTGGTCGCTGGGTGACACTAGGCATGCAGAAATATGAGGGATTAGCAATTTAAGTCACAGTTAGCTTCTAGGCTTAGTTTAGGGTAAGTTTTAAGTGAAGGAATTACAGTTCCAGTTTTACAAGCTTGGACCAAATGGGAACAGATCAAATTCAGAATCACCCTCCCTGCAATGGTGTCAGCCAGAAGGGAGTCAGTCCGATTGCCAACAGCCATTCCAAATTCCTAGTGGATTTTGGCCCCAGCAACTGGGCTTGCTCCCTGCCACGGCTCCAGCAAAAGGTGCATTTCAGCTCAGTTTCCTGTCTTGGTCCGTTAATCAAAGGCCAAGAGCAGCTGCAGCCAGCGGGGCAGGTCACCACCGCCCCCAGCTGTGCCAGCCAGGAGGAGGAAGCTGTGGTCTGTAAAGGAAACTCGCTGGAGGCCCTCCACTGGTGTTTGGCACAATCGCTACAGTGACAGGTGGGAGAGATCTGATGTTTGAGGGAGCTTGAAATGGGCACACTGAACCAACCAAAGTTCCTGAGATTTTGGAGAGCTTTATGAAGTTAGTAAAACGATCACATTGTTCAAATAACTAAAACCAGTGGTTTACTCTTCTAAGGAAGCCCAATGAGGTCTTCCAGATTGTGTTTGCTAGTATTTCCAAGTCTCTCTAGGTAGCGATACAGTCTGGAAACAGACTTAAGAAAGGGGAAGGCTCCAAGTGTCAGAATTCAGGACTATCCTGCTCCAAGCACTGCAGCAGATGCCGACAGTGAGTGCAATTGGAAATGCAGTCTCCTGGGAGCAAGCAGGCTGCATCCCAAATCACCCGCAGTCACCTGCTTTCCCTTCATCACTAAAACAGGATGTAGCCAGATGGAGGAAGAGACAACTCCAAATAATTCTCTGGAGTTAACTGTGTTCTGAATAACAGAGCAGAATGAAAACTGTAGAGACGTCTTACCAAGAAATGTTAGCCGGTCACTGAGCAGCATGGATGGTCCCAAATTATCGATGAGGTCTAAGTCAGAGAAGCACCCCCTTTCACAATAGTCCTTGAGGAATCTAGGGAGAAGGTAAAACACAATAAAAGCTTAGAGGGGAGAACATCGTCCACATTCATGTTGTATCTCCTCTTCCCTTCCCAGACTGAGTTCCATCTTAATCAACCTCCCGTAAGGGTTTCAGAAGACATCAAAACATTTCCTGGGAGTGGCCAATGAACTGATGTGATGTGTGTTTATTCTTCTAGATTTTGTGGTAGCTGGATCTATTCTTTAAAAGGAATAAGTGAAGGAAAGAGCACAGGAAGCTGAGGCTGGTGAATGCATAAATAACACTCCCAGGTTGTAACAAATGCTCTATTTTTCTGCTGAGTAAAAAAGTTGATAAGCAGCAGGAACAAAAACAATGCTAAAAGCTTTTCATCTATTTTGTCACAGTTTTCATTATGCTGCTTTTTTTCAGAGCTGCTTCCTGTGATGGTTTTCTTTCACCTTCTGTTGAAAGAAGTATAATGATTTCCACTCCCTCAAAGAACAAATGAAAAAATACCAAAACAAACCAGCAATCTCTTACTACTCCCTTTTTTACTGTTGAAGATAGAGTATTGCCTGGCCACCTAACCTGGGTGTAATTTAAAAATTATACTCTTAACTAGTCAAAGAGATTGGTACCTGTCTATTTCCAATTAGCACAAAAATGCATCACATGGATTGCTAGAGATTAAAAAGCAAAAAGAGAGTTGCCATATCTTTTGTCTAGGCCTAAGCTAAGCGTTTTATAACAACCTTCCTGCCCCTGCGAGGTCAGATATTGTGATAAGCTTTTGCAAAACCAGGGACACGATAAAACTTCCCTCTTTGTTACATATGTCATAATTGTGACTTGAGATTTTTTGCAGAAGTGGTGGCTAAAGTGGCTTCTGACTCAAACTCACCGGTCAGATATTAGTGTAGCAAAAGCCGCATCCTTGGCTCTGATGCTCCACGACAGGGCAGAGCCCAAGCGATTATTCCGCAGAGCTTTCATGGCCATGATCTTACAGATGCTGCGAACTTAGGGGAAAACAGGAGAGGAGGGAAAGGATTAGTTTCAGTAGTTTCAGTTGCATCACTGCAAACCAATGGGATTCAAAAATCTCTCACCTTGTTCATGCATCTGTCTCTGCTCACAGATCCTCAGCACTTTGAGGGCCTTCTGCTCCGTGTTCAGGGGTATCCGCTCAATATGAAGCTCCAAATACACCCTGCCGTACTCTGGACAGTGGTCAAAGTAATCTACCCCCAGCTGCCACAGGCTGAGAGAGGAAAAAAAAATCATCAAGCATTCCAATCATATCAATCTGAAATAAGCACAACAGTAAAGAGCAAGGAGAATCTGAGTCTGCTCTCGTTAACTTAGCATTCGGACCTAAAATGGATTTTACTTTCTACCAAACACCAGCTGCCTATTATACAACTTTGGAACACCTGCATCCACAAGTGCTTTGGGGTAGGAGTTGCTCTGTACCAAAAAACCACAGTGGCAGGAGCGGTTCTGTCCCAGGTAGTACACCTGATGGGTTCTAAGAGATAGCTTTGGTTTTTAATTCAGGAAAGGAACCCTGCGAGTGTTGTATGATCCTTACGGACACCTTTGCTGAAATCCTAACAGTGGCTTCTGTAAGTTTTGCTTTTTTACTTTATTAACATGGAGTTATTTGTTTTGGCTGCCTCGATGTTAGTCTGTCCTCTGAGTGAAAAAAAGTTGCTACCTGTGATGGGAGAAGAGTCCTGAGGCATACTCTAGCAGAAGGAATTCACGCATGTTTGAACCAAAACTGGGGGGGAAGAGAGAAAAGAAACAGGTGTTGTTATTAGCACCTCCTTGGAAAACCTGCTGATTTTACTTCACAATTACTTCTCCTTTATGCAGCATGTCTTTTCCCAGGCTATCTTAACAAGCTTCATACCTCAGGCCTAAGCATGCTGGTCAGCTTTCTCCTTGGGGAGACCTGCCAAATATTTACAGCACTTAGCAAATATAACTTAGAGGAAGTGCTTTAAGGAAATTCAGATAGCAAAATTCAGTTGCTCAAACTTAAATTTATTCAGAGCATAAGTATGAAAACTCTTTTTAGATTAGTTTCTCACCATTCCAAATAATCACAAACATTTGGGCCCTTGATTATATTTCAGATAAAATTATATTTTAAAAGAATCCTAAGATTGCACTGAGGCACTGCAGAATAGCATGTCCACTGCATCAGGTCAGCAATTGCTTCTGCTTCCCAGAGTACCTGGGCTGCCTGGAACTTCAGAGCACATGCAGCACCTTTATTCTGCATCTTCTGTGAACGCCCAAAATGCTCCTTTTCAACCCAAATGCTGTTTCAGTCATCCTTGCTTCTGGGTGTCTGAATAATCAATGCAAGTAAATACTTACTAGAGATTGTGAGACTGCAGGAGTTTACAGTGATCCAGTAGGTCAGTCAGATGAGCCACAAACCACCAGTTGCTCAGGGCAATGCTGTATTTGAAGCAAAAGAAAGAAAAAACTAAGCCTACCGCTGCCAAGGAATGCATCAGGTTTTCCACAGGCACTTCTTCCCAATACAAAAGCTCTATGATACTAGAATGTCTGGTTGCAAGGTCCCAGACCTAGTAGAATACTTTTAGTTGCTGCCTGCTTCTCGTATTCTTGCTACATTTTTTGGAAGGATGATCAGGTGTGCTGTACCCATATCCTCTACCCCAAATACTATTGGAGCAAATGCACACACAAGTAAAAACCTTAAAACTCAACCTGCATTCCTTGATCACTTGATGCATCTCGAATTCAAAGGCTGCCATTAAAATGGTGTCTAGAGGCTCAGGGCTGCTTTCTCCACCCAGGAACAGGTCCATGCTAGACTGTGGAATGAGATTACAAGAGATGATAAATACAGAAGTTGTGAGATGGTAAAAGGAAGACGTTTGGATGTAGCAGCCTCATTTAGGTTATTTTATGGGAAACAGTATGTCACAGAGACTGAACATAAGGAAAAAGATTTTTCCTTATTTTAGCATAAGGAAACTGGGAAAACAATTTGCAGGAACAAGACTGGTAATGTTAGACACTGAAGAGCCTGGGTCTTCAACAATTATTTGTCCACTGCCTGAGTCTCCCAGTCCACTTACAAATTCTAGGAAACATCTTAAAGGTATGTAGCTGCTGTAAGATGTCAACCCTCCCAAAGCTCTCCTTTCAGTAAGTAATCTGTGTGTGCAAGAAGTGGTGGAGAGTATAAAAAGAATTCTACTTCATGCCTGTGCATAAAGCCGCAGCTCCATCGGCTTCACAGTTGGACGGGAATACAGGAGTTGGGTAACCAGAAAGTGGTACCATGTAGTCATGAGTTCCTTTCTCTCGAGTATGGCACCCTCATCTCCCAGCAGGATCTGACGGGAGAAAAACAGAGGGGTAATTCTGCAAAGGCAGCAATGTACACAGCGCTGCTCTAACTCTTCAGAGGCATTACTCCCATTTTGCAAAGTTGAGAATTTAATCAAAATTAAATAACAAAGGACAAAGATCCTTCTCAGAGCCCAGCTTCCTAATCAGCCTTATGGGCTTGGATGCAAAGAGAAAATGATCTGCCCAGGCTCGCAAAGACTGTTGCAAAACAAAGAACACAGTACAGAAGACTGGCCTGAAATCTCCTGATTTAATAAACAGATCATCCAGCATGTGAAAGTTACTATGGCTACAGAGGGCTCCTGAAATATACAGGGATGGATCCAATACTTGTGCAGTTTCCTTCCTGCCCAGCAAAAACATACCTTGCAGATGGATTCCATGTGGGAATTGGAAGCAAAAGTTCCATCCTGGAGATACCGCTGACATTCTTCATGCCAGTGCTGCCATTTCAGCTCCATCTCAGTCAATGTCTGAGTGTTGCCAAGCTGAACAGAGACAAGATACATAAACTGAAGGAAAGGCCAAGTCAAATCACAACAGGTGCTTGGGCTGGACTCAGTCATTGACGCTAAAAAGCTAAACACGAGGCTGCCATCAAATTTCTCCTACTCCTGCAGTTGCATTTGAGGTATCTTATTCTACCCATCTAAATAAAGTAAAGGAGAGCCTACGAGAGGTTATCGTAATGCAGCTGCAATTTTTCCTCCACAAGGACATTACTACTACAGAGGGAAATTCTGCTGGTAAAGTCTTCAGAAAATATTCTGTACAAGAGAATCGTTCTAAAAAATTCAGACGACTGGATAATGTAGCCTGCTGCAAAAATTATCTTTCCAACTATGTTGGTTTGTCACCTAACAGGCTTTTGTCTGAATGGTTGGGCCTTTTAGGCACTTCAAGAACACAAATATTACTACAAATATTACAAATCGTGATGTTCCAGGAGCCACAGCAGAGAGGAAATAGACTGGACTGTCATCTCTCTCATCTCTTTTCCCAGTGGAACTGCATGAAAAAAATCCACTTTGTACATACACTGGGCACAGGCATCTTCTTCATCAAGTCATCCAGGATTTTGTACATGTTCATTGACGTGGGATTGGCACTGGCTTCCTTGGAGAGCAAGTGCCGTGCTTCATCCATTCGGCCTTGCAGCACAAAGACGTCTACCTGCAAAAAGCCCATCTGTGAGCACCACACTCTGCAAGGCTACCAAATCCCCAGGAAGAGTATCAGAGTGGAATTTTAACTTGTGATTTAGGCAAGTTAAGTGGAGTTAAAATACTTAAGCTGTAGGCCCTGCTAATTCAAATACACAGTGTAAGCCTTGACCTCTATGGAGCATGAAAGGATCAGGCTGGGAATGAGGGGAAGGACAATCTTCAGAACTGCTACATCTTAAAGGCAGACAGCAGCGGTGTCCTAGGTGTCAGTTTCTGAGATGTAGTCTAGTGCCAAGTGGGGAGGAGGAAGGCAAAACACCCAGGCATGAACTCTCTTTAAGAATCTCATCAGTGACTATACTCACCACGTTCCAGAAGAGCTCATGTTTCGATGGATTTTCACTGCTCAGAACTTCACGGGCCATGTTGTCCACATCACAGACGTGAAGCCGAACCCAGTCAAGGAGGCGAAGCATAAGGGGACCAGCTTTATGCGGAGAAGATATCATTCTGTTAGTTCCCAAACTGCTGGTTTACATGCTTCTAACCTTAATCGTTTGACAATCGTTAGATGAGGTTTAACAACTGGATTTCTATCTGCCACACTCAAATTACAAAGGAACAGAGTTCCTGAAGTAGCCAGGCTGCAGGAACACAGGCTGCTGTCCAATTTTAGACACAACAGCAGTAGTGACCAGCAGAAAACCCTAACCAGTCACTTGAAAAAATAAAAGGTGAGTGATCATAAATCTTGCAGTGCCAAAAGACACATAGCATGTTTCTGTTTAATTTATCTTCAACTCATTATTATTAACTGAATACGAGGAGGAAATCTGGCACTAGGTGATTAACTTTTCTTGAGATTAAACAATCCACAATTTGTGAATCTCTCCTGAATTCTGGGACTGTGCAAGTAGCATATTTGTTTGCATAATCCAATTTCCTTAAAAAATTATTTACTAGTTTAAAATGCTGGTGTAAACAAACTGACTTAAAAAATGGCATCTTAAAGTTAAAGGAGTTCCATCAGAGAATGCGTAAATATTAGTTGGCATCAATGATGCTTAAAGATGTGTTTATGCTTAAAAGTTGAATAAATTGGCAACAACTTTTGATATCACTCTTCTTCCCTACCTTTCTGTTAAGGACAATTTAAATTGTAGTGAACCTACACAAGGGGAAAAAGTAGAAGGCAAATCTAATAGCCTGACATAATTCAATATGAAGAAGGCAATTTACTGAGGCAGAAGAGGTACTAAAAGGCTTGCTGACACTTGTCATATCTCTAAAACTTATTAAAATATGACACAATGGATGCTATACACATTTTAAACAAACATGCAACTAAAAAGCCCTTCAGTCTTAACATCAGGATAGTTCGCTGCTCACCTGGAGCTGCTTCAACAAACAGAATCTCACACAGGTTCCAGATCAGTTCCATTGCAGACAGAATACAATGGATACTATACACATTTTAAACAAATAAACATGCAACTAAAAAGCCCTTCAGTCTTAACATCAGGATAGTTCACTGCTCACCTGGAGCTGCTTCAACAAACAGAATCTCACACAGGTTCCAGATCAGTTCCATTGCAGACAGAATAGAAACCTTAAAAAAAAAAACAGGGCCATGTTTCACATCTGTAAGTATTCCAGTTTGGTTTTTAACTGCACAAAGGCATCTGCTGTCCCCAGCAGTCAATTAAGCTCAGTTCTTACAGACAGAAAAATGTCATATTGACACTTTGGAGAAACAAATTAAAAGAGATAATCAGGCATGTGACACAACTGCAGATTACCTGAGTGCTATACTGGCTGTGCAGGGCAGGGTCCCGGGCTGAAACTGAGGGAAGAACAAGGCAAGTCAAAGAGCAATATATTTACCTTTCACAGCCCTTTCTGGGCTCATAAATAATGACACCAATACCTCATCGCTCATCAAGCACAGACTTAAATGAGTAAAGACATGGCAAAGCTAACTTTAATATAACTTTATAACTTTTTTTTTATAAATCCTGTACAAATTGGGGTACAGCTACAGGGCAAGGATGGAAGGGAAGAGCAAAATGTTCCTTTT